AAGGTTTCAAACTGAGTACCAAAATAATATTAACTTGATATTAACTTATAATAAATTTAATATATGAATTGTAATTTATTATGTTAAACTCTTAGTAAATTCAATATCAACTTGGTACCAAAATAATATTATTAGAAACTTTACTTAAATATTATAAAACAAACTTACAATTCATTAATACACAATTATTTGAAACAACCACTTAAACTTTTACTTAGTTTTTATTATAGAAGTTCACTTTTTATTAAAGATTTGACTTTTCTTTTATATACATGTTAGTTTTATAGTAAAATTATAATAGTCGTTTTAATTTTTCTACTATAATTACTATATCTACCATTTAAATTATAATTTAAAAAAAACATATTTAAAAAAACAAATAAAACAAATAAAACAACTATAACAAAAATAATTCAGATTAGAAAAATTTGTGATTATTATAACATCAGTTTATATAATAATGCAAATTTTTTCTAAACATAAGAATATAAAAATAAATAATAAAATAAAAATATTTTTTTAAATAAAACAATTTTTCAAATGTTTTATAATAACAAAGATTTATTACAAAGTTAAAAAACCAGTTTTAATTTAAGAAATTGCAAATACTCATTTAAGATCCATATGTAAATTTATTTTGTAACAAAATAATTATTAATCTTTATATTTTTATAAAAACTATAAATAATAAGCTTTATTACAAGATACTTATTCAAAACTTATTTAAGCAAACTAATAAAATTCTTAATGACAAATAAATATTTTAACAAAACAATAATTCTAAGCATAATACAAAACTTATAATAAATTATTGCAAAAATGATATTTACATATTCTTAATTAGTTATTTTTTAAAAAAATTTCAATTCAATTGAAAACCTGCAAGCATTGCTAAAAATAATATAAAGAAAAAGATTAATTTATTAATCTATAAAAAAGAATCAATTTTGCAAAGTAATTTTATAAGAATAATAAAAGAGAAATAAAAGCAAATTAATATAATTAATATATAAAAGAATAAAATTAATAATTAATAATAAAGTAATGAAACAAAATATTAAAAAATATATATAATAAACATTTTTAATTTTAAAAATAAAAATAAAGTAAATTTTATTTGATTACTTTCTTATTATTTCTTATTACTATTATTATTATTTTATTAAATGTTAGCATAAATCTTGTTTAGCAAATTTTATTAAGGTTAATATTTATATATATTCACATATATTATTATATAGAACTATATTATAATATTAATTATCTTTATATATACTAAACTATATGGGAATTTCTCCACATATTGATTGTTGCTATCAACTTTTTCTAATGGATAAAAGTTTATACAAATGTGCCAAAGCCTCACTTGTTGTTAAGTCACTGGTAGTTTTAACTAATTGCTTTATTTTGTTGGAAAAGAATTAAGAAGAAATGAAGAGGTACACTGGAGGTAATATCTTTTATATAGCAAATAAAGCTATATGACACTTGCTTGTTTTATTAGGAATAAATTTCTTTATTACCACCTGCAGCTGGACTAATCATTTAATTTCTTACTTGCTTAAATAATACTTAAGAATATTCAAGGTAAACTTATAACTGGTTCTTACTATCTGAACAGCAACTTACATAATTTTGCATAAAATGGGTTTTATTGCCAAATACCTTTATGGGATAAATACCATTAGACTAGTTTATTACTGGATTGAGATGAAACTAGAGCATGGATCTGTAGAAAGATACCAGATATTAGGAAAGCAATTACTAAACCTGCTTATCAAAAACAAATATCTTATACATTTTGCAACTTTTGATAATCATTATAACACCAACCAAATAATTATCACATCATAACACATCTTCTGGAAATCACAATTTCAATGTTTTCTAGATCAGTATATGAAAGGGTTTCTTATAAGAAACAACACTTTTATAGGTTATGGCACCAGATACTTTTTTTTTTTTTAATGCAAGTAAGCTTTACTCTAATTTATTAATTTTGCTGTGAATAACATACATTACATATATTTCTATTCACACTTAAAATCTTACAATTAGAATTTATTTACAAGTATATTATTCGGATGTAGCCTACCTATAAGAACTATTTAAACACATCAATTATTTTCTACATCTTCCAGCCTCAAATTTGTAAACTTTCCAATAAGATCCAACCACTAATCGAATTATCCATTGGACTACTGTGTCTCTATCTTCTCCTAGTAGTTCATCTTATTTAAGACCATAGGTCTGAATTGTCACCATTTGAGAAAGTGGATGGAACCTATTGGCCAGAGTTTGTTTCAATATCTTTAAACATGGGATTGATGATTCAATCCTTTTTTAGATAATGCTAGGCTTCAAGCGTAGACTGCTTATTTAAGAGGATACAACTCCTCCAAAGTCAGGTTAAGTCTTAAAGGGAGTCTTCCATTCTGGCAATCATTATCAACTAAGTACCTTCATTACAGGTAAGAATAGTGAGTATTGCTGGCGAGTTGTCACTCATACTGAAAAGGGATGTGTTGAAAGTCTTGCTAAACAGTTTTCCAGTTTTGTGGCCCTTCGTGTTATATTTCTTTTATAGTCTCATAAACTATAGGAAAGTGAAATAACCTATTGTGGAACTGGGGATTGCACCAAACTGAATAATGATCATCATAACACCAACCAGATAATTATTGTGTCACAGCACCTTTTATAAGAAATCACAATCTCAACACCTATTGGATCAGCGTGTGAAACGGCTTCTCATAAGAAACAGCGCTTAACAGGTTATGGCGCCAGATACCATATTAATTCTATTCAACTGCTCTCACATAGGGTTGAACTGGTATCTTGTGATTTGACCTGTGGAGTGTTAACCACTATACTATAGACCCACAGGTCTTATGGCATCAGATACTATATTAATTTTATTCAATTACTCTTATATGAAATTGAACTGGTATGTTGTGATTTGACCTGTAAAGTATTAACCACTACACTATGAACTTACAGGTCTATTATTTATTATTACTACTATATATAATTATAATTAAAAAATATATTAAATAGTATAATTGAATTTTAAGTTTTTTTATTATTAATACTATATTAAGAAGCCAATTGTTTTAATTAAACTTTTTTAAATTGTAGAATAAAAAAACTTAAAGGAAATAGTCTTATATATAGCATCTATATAAATCTTAGTAATACTAATATTATAATTTTTAATTATCTTTAATAATAGTATAATGAATTTGATAATAATAAATTCTGAATTTTATATACTAAATATTGTTAAAAGTCAATATTATTATATTTGTTAAATAATATCTAAGCAGATTCAATTTGATTATTATAATACTGAAATAATTTTTAATATATTATTGATTTTCAATAACAAATGTATTTAAGTGAATATGATAAAAGATCAAAATCTTGATGTCATAAATAATTCATTAATTTTAATATAGTAAAATAAGCATATATCTCAATTTCTTTTTTTAATTCACTAAGCATTTTAGCAATAAGATCTAAATGTGAATGAAAAGCTTATGTTGAATATTAATTGTTGTAATATTCAAAATTATATCAACTCATATCTAAGAATCCTAATAATTTGATTCAATTTGATTTTCAATTCTTAGATTCATTATTAAATTCAATATAGATTATAATTTACCATTATTTTTAAGTGTTTTAAATCTTATGTAAGTCTATATAAGTCTATTTAATTTCAATCTTTGAGACTATAATTATATTATAATCTTGCTCTTACAATTATAATATATAGTATATATTCTTTATGATTTGAATTTTTATATTTTTATAATTGTATTTTTTTAAATTAATAATATATATAAAAGAAACTATTGATTGTATTTATAATTTTTTTGATAAAGCTGTATATGAATAATTATTATTAAAATATTTAGTAAGTAATTATATTTTAAAAATTTTTTTATAATATAACAATATTTCTATAAATATTTATCTCTATTTTTTATTTCAAAAATAATAAGATTAGTAATTTCTCTTATTGTTTTATTTTATATTATAGCCATATTTAAATATTTAATAAATAAATTTGATAAACTGTTTCTATTTTATTATTAGTTTGTATATTAATTGTCAACTCTTGAATTTCTTGTTTTATTAAATATCTAATATTATTATAATTAATCTTAATATGTATAATATTATTAATATATTCTGTTTTAATTGATTTTATTTTGATTAATTCAATAATAAGCAATAGATTTTTAATCTTGATATTTTTGTTTTTAGATCTCAATTTTCTTTATAGCTTTAGCATGTTTTGTGACATATATATTTCAAATAAATTGGTCTTCAGAACATTTTTTTTTACAAATATTATAATATATTATTAGTAAAATATGTAATATTTATAAAATAATAAAGTTGATAAAGATATCAAAAATAAGATTTATGTTTGTGTTACTTGGATTCTGATATTTTTAAAAAAACATAATAATAATAATTGTTTTATAATTGATTTAGATCTTAATTAATTATAATAAGGGTAAAAAGTATAACATATGACATATTTAGTAAAAAATAATTAAATTAATATTAATATATAATTATTTTTGAAAGCCAATCATATATCGTAGATATTAATTATAAAGAAGAAATTGCTAAAAAAAGAAATTCAATAAATTAAATAAACATTTGAAATAAAAAGAAAATATTAATTGTTAATTTAAATTGATAGACTTTATATATTTTAAAAATATAAGTAATTATTTTTGAAGGTGGACACTGATTTTTTGAATACTATAACTGTAATCCTGAAATTCAATAGGAAAATGAAAGACCTAAGCCTTTAAATAGGACTCGCATACAGCTGGTAGAGATTGTACATTGCGTAGATCGGGCAAAGGGTTCTCGATCATGCCATTTTTGTAATTTATATTGTATGCATGTATACAAATTTATTTAAATATATATATTTCCCAACTGATATCTAATTAATCGAGTGTTAACCTCATCGATCAGGAATGACTCATAAGAGCATTCGCACGTTCAACTCCACGTTTCACTGCCGGTCGAGAACCTATACGGTCTAACCAAGCTTTAACGTTCGGGTAAGGTGTATCTTCCTTTGTGGCTTCGGACCATGACACAACAAATGAGTAGGATGCGATGTCGGCTGTTTGGCGAAGATGCGTGTTAAAGGCAATGTATGGTATTGAGTTAACAACAAGGAACGTATAACACCTACCAATTGAATATTCTTCCCCGGCAACATAAGGATATTCGCCAAGACGCTTGTTCAATACTCCAAGCAAACGTTCGGTTTCTTTCGTAAATCTAACGTTCAATAACAGATTAGATTGGGATTTACGACTTTTTTTTCTTAAAAATATTTGCTTACCGTTCGATGCCATAGGGAACTTTTTCGGGGGCATAGGTCAAGAAGTGAATCGCCTGACCCATCATTGGACCCAGCCTTTAAGCATATATAAGGTTAGTAGTTCTACTTGGATTATTAATGCATTGTTTTCGTCTCATCACCACCTACCCGGCAATTTGCCACGACAACCATTCATCGACCTTGATCCTCTTTCTGGGATCTTTGGGATACAAATCCGGCGCCCCTGGTCCCGCTTTGTATTCCGCCAAGTACCGAAGGATGGCGGCACTTTCAAAAATGCTCAGGCTCCCTTCTCCAAATTCTTTTGGTGGGTGCAAATCTACCACCGCAGGAATTTTATTGTTCGGAGAAATCTTTAAGAACTCGGGGTTGAATTGTTCACCCTTTTTAAGGTTAACCAAGTGTCCATCATAGGGGATATTGAGTTCCTCGAGGGCTATGGTAATTTTCTTGCCGTTGGGAACGGGGAAAACATATGCTTGAATGTCGTGGGTGGACATTTTGATAAAGACTTTGTGAATTTTGAAATAATTAACGGTGATCTATTGAAAAACTTTGAAGTTAACAACATCGTGAAGGATCATGAACCGTGCTTTTATGACTTTTTCCTCTATTAATGTTCTCCCAAGACATGTAAAGTGTTCTTTCTATTAGTAATACTAGTAATTGTCATTAATCATTAGTAATTCATTTGTCGTATAGATTTACCAAATTTGGAATTAATTGTTTGTGTGCACGTTCATAGCAAGCATTGAAGTGCCGAATGTTCCCCCGAAAAGGAAGCAACTCGGTTAAACCTCTCTCGCCAATCCTACTACTAGTTTATGCTGTATTCTATATATTTGTTTTTATTACGAGAAGGTTCCGTCTTTAACATACGATCATTACACATCCGCGTCAATGTACATTACGTTAAACAAGGAAAGAAAAAGCAAATTTTAATAAAACATGGTTCTATGATTGCATGACCACGAATAAATTGTTTTTTTTTTCAACAAGGATAAAAATGATTTGAAAGATTCTACTATAAGAAATAATTCATATTCCTTTTTTCGGTTGAGGTAAATGATACGGTGTTACCGTGTTTCTACCATCACCTATGCGATTCATCGTTGCTTCCAAAAGCGATCACTATGTCAGCTTCTTTCTCCGCCTCCGCACCATACCTTTCTCGAATGAACTCTCTCAATTTTCTATTTTCATTTTCCGCACGTTTAAGACGAGACCCATAAATATTGACCGGAGATGAGGTTGAGAAGTAATCATTTTCTGGCGTGATCGGTGTCACTGGTGACGTATGAAAGTGTAATTGACTATGTTTAAATTTCGAGTGGATCGGTTGAATGCCCTCGCCATTTTCGCTGTTAAAATGTTTAAAGTCCCAAGGAAATTCGTTGGTGGGAACGATAGACCCAAAGGGTGTAGTATTGGGTGTGTGAAGCCCCTGGACGACCTCGTTCGATGACATGGAGATTGAATTGCTAAAATTTGGTTGATTCTTTCTTGGTGTGTTCTCGGTAGCAAAATTTGTTACCAAATTAGAACCCGAGCGTGAATTCATCCAGTTACTTCCGCTGGGAATTCCAATGGAAGGAGGTGGATCGGCTCTTTGTTTTTGACTCGTCGTCAAAGGCGTATTCTTCACAACCTTTGCCGGACCGCTTGGATCATTGATGGTAATTTGACGCGACGAACATCCATCGGTTAACGATCGCCTCAAAATATTTGGTCTAGTCCGTTTGACGGAATCGGGTGACTCATCGGTCGAGACCGGAGTATTATTGCCTGTAAGTTTCCTCCAGGATGAGCTTGAATGATCCAAAGTAGAGTTGCTTGATTGACTTGAAGATGTGGAGAAGTCAAAGAGTGCTTCTTCCTGTGGGAAAGAATTTTCGTCGTTTTCAACCTCATTAAAATCGAAAAATTCGCTTTGAGAGAGATCATCCGAATTATCGGATTCCTCCGAAAACTCCCCAACCGGACATTGACCTTCCATTTCCTTGAAACCCTTTGCGTGAGGGTTATGATTTTTTTTGAGAGTGTTCACCGCATCATTTTGATAGTGGGTGACGGCAATGAAAATGGTCTCATCGAAGGTAAGGATTGATTCTCGATCGTCCCGAGAAGTTGACGAGTGCTTAATCATTTTCACACGTGGTTGATATTTGTGAAAAGAGGTCAAACGGAAATGACCATCAGGAAGATCATAAGGTTCGTTTTCTCCGTTTGCTCGTGAAACACGTTTTCTCGGTTTGTAGGACGACAGGTTATGCCGTGGACGATTGGTAAGTTTAATCTTTGGAAAAAACACACCGAAACGCATCCAATACGCGCCTATTAAAATGAGATACAGAAAGGATTAAAATCGCTCGGTCAACTTTAAGAAAACTAAGAAGTCAAGCGATGATTTCACTAGGTACCCAGTTGGGGGGAATCCGGATGTGTATAAGGTCGACCATCCACCTTGCCATTCTTTGTCGTTTTCCCATTTTTGTTGTTCGTGGAGAATTTCCGTTTATCGGTACCAATGGAAATCCAATCGCCCCTCTTGAAGCGATACCTGCTTGGAGACACCTGAACAAAATCCAGGACGAAAGTGTACCGGGCGGTTGCATCAAGATTCATGGGGTAGAACTTCAACAAAGGAAAAATGCATCTACCCGACTTCGTAATAATCATCTCATTGTTCACCCGGTGGAATTGTTCCCACAATTCTGCGTTATCAAGCGACAGGTATTCCTCTTGGACGAGAGGGGGTGGGGGTGGTGGTGGTGGTGTCAAGGATGAAAAATTGTAAGAATGAAAGCTTGGCGATGACATCGAATTTTCGGAAGCAGAGGCGGAAACTTTAACAAGCATCTCGTTCCCCGGAGGTGAACGAAAGGAGTTTGTGTTACTGTTATCATGACTTTGAATTGCATGCCCATCGTTATTTTGGTAGTCAACGGGTGCATCAAGAAGCCGGTGGATCTTCATGTTTTTAATTACGCGAACTAGACGCGAAAAGGTGATGTTCGAGGTGAAACGTCGAAACACAAGATCAAGGTTTCAAGGACGTACCTGACAATATCTCGAAAAAGGTTTTCTAAGGTCGTGTAACGTCAAAAGAGATTAAAAAAAAATTTTTTTTATCCTAAAGTGCATTTGATGTTGAACACAGATGCGAAGTCGCAATTTTTTTTTCTAGAAAAAAAATTCCGTTTATAACTATATAAAATAAAGTATTTTATATGTGAAATCCATTTTTCTTCTTCTTTGCATTTCCGATGGTCAAGCTCTTGTGATTGTAAAGTGATTATTAATTATCTTGTGATGTTTATTATAAGTAATATAATAATTACATGTAAAGGATTCGGAGACAATAATTGTGACTGATTAGATCATTCAAAATCAATTGAACGAAATTTCCGATTTTCCAAAACTATTGTATGCACGTTGACAATGTCTTACTACGCGAACTTGAATCTTGTCTTGAAAACGCGAACACGATTGTTATTCTTCTGTGTGCACCTTGTGATCACCCACGTCAAACAATTAACGAATAAACTTTCTGCATTGAAATTAACAATTATAACACAGTAAAGTTTCCTGTGTACGGTGCATCGAGTAAATATGATAGCCGGACACCACCTAGGGATCTAGGAGATTGATAAATTAAGTGATGAGGCAAATTATTTAATGTGACGAAATAATCCTTGATTACTGCCATTCCCACCCATGCACACGGTTATTATCTTTGCATGAATCACGATAATCTGCGGCTTCGAATTTATGAATCATAATTGTATAAATAGAAATTTATTTCAAATATAAAATATATCATAACAAGATTACCAAAATAATTGATTATAAAGTGAAAAAATACGTTTAAAAAAAATAAAACATAGATTACAAATCCACTTTAAGTATAAAGCGTATGTTTAAGTAATTTTTCTCGTTAATATAGTAAACTACGTTTTTCTTACAATTACAATAACAATATTATTATCATCATCATTTGAATTTATATTATATACTTTAATAATATTTACTGACATCATTGAACATTTAAATATACATACAGCATATCTGATATCAAATTTATTAGATGAACTTTAACTTATATGCATGAATATGTTCTTATCATATAGTATATATATATTAACTCAATTCATCAGATCATATTTTATTTTGTTAATACAAAAAGTTTAATACATTACAAGTTTATTTATTATCTGTATAATTACAAAAGAATATAATGATTTTACTTCATATTGACTTGATATAATTCACTTATTTAGAGATAAAAATAAAAATTGTCATTTCAAAATTTTATTTTTGCAAAAAACTTAAATAAAAAAATACTTTAACAGAATTATTTTTAAGATTTAAAACTTGTATTCAATATTTGTGCGTTATATATTTTTAGAAAATAGAAAAAAAAAATCTTGATAAAAAGTTTTTTAATAATATCAAAATTCAAATTATTAAAACAAATTTATTATTATTATTTGCAATAGAATAAATTATTTAATTTTTATTATTTCATTATTATACAAAAATATTTAAAAAAACTCACAAAAAAACCTATTGTTTTAAAATATATACAGTGTGAGTCATAAATTTTTGGAATTGGTTTTTTTAATATAATTTTTTTAATAACTATTTAAATA